TACCTACAAGCAGAGGCTGGATGGCCATCTGTCAGGAGGGTTTCGATGGTGTCCTCCATTATGAAAGAATGGGGTTGGAATGGATGACTTTTGTGGTTCTCTTCCGACTCTAGGATTCTATTATTCCTTCTCTGGAGGCTGGATGGTCCTCTGTCGGGAGGGCTTTGATTGTGTCTTCCTCTTTGGAAGGAGGAGAGGGTTGGACTGGATGGCACTTGTGGTTCTCTTCTGACTCTAGGATTCTATGATCCTTATCTGGACACTGGATGGCCATCTGTCAGGAGGGTTTTGATGGTGTCCTCCGTTATGACAGAATGGGGCTGGACTGGACGGCACTTGTGGTTCTCTTCTGACTCTAGGATTCTATGATTCCTTCTCTGGAGGCTGGATGGTCATCTGTCAGGAGGGTTTTGATGGTGTCCTCCGTTATGACAGAATCGGGTTGGAATGGATGGCCCTTGTAGTTATCTTCCGACTCTAGGATTCTATGATTCCTTCTCTGGAGGCTGGGTGGCCATCTGTCGGGAGGGTTTTGATGGTGTCCTCCGTTATGACAGAATGGGGTTGGAATGGATGGCCCTTATGGTTCTCTTCCGACTCTAGGATTCTATGATTCCTTCTCTAGAGTCTGGATGGCCATCTTTCAGGAGGGTTTTGATGGTGTCCTCCATTATGACAGAATGGGGTTGGAATTGATGACTTTTGTGGTTCTCTTCTGACCCTAGGATTCTATGATTCCTTCTCTGGAGGCTGGGTGGCCATCTGTCAGGAGGTTTTTGATGGTGTCCTCCATTATGACAGAATGGGGTTGGAATGGATGGCCCTTGTAGTTCTCTTCCGACCCTAGGATTCTATGATTCCTTCTGTGGAGGCTGGATGGCCCTCTGTCAGGAGGGTTTTGATGGTGTCCTCCGTTATGACAGACTGGGGTGGGAATGGATGCTCCTTCTGGTTCTCTTCTGACTAGGATTCTATGATTCCTTCTCTGGAGGCTGGATGGCCATCTGTCAGGAGGGTTTTGATGGTGTACGTTATGAGAGAATGGGGTTGGAATGGATAGCCCTTGGGACCATTGATCTCAACCCTGGAATGCTGGAAGAAATGACCTGGCATCTCCTTTTACGTTGCTTTCTTCCCCAGCCCTAACATTGTAACAAATCCCCCAATAAAGTATCTATTAACTGTAACTTTTTCCTCTATATTGTGTTACTTTGTGTCTTTCATTGCCTCTAACCTCTCTCTGCATGAACCTTTCCTCTCCTGGGCTGCAGATGGCCGGGGAGGCCGAAACTGCGCTCCTTTGAACCGCGGATACAGAAACCCATCGGGGCCCCCGTATCCGCGAGTCAACGGATCGCTTCGAAATCGGTGCCATACTTCTCCTGGGGGAATTCTAAGACTGATGGCTATCTCAGTTTTGCTCGGCTAACCCTCCGCCCCAGGAATAACCGTTCTTACCTCTGAAACTTCAACATGGAGCCTAGCTGACTCCCAAAAGACACTGCCTCGCCACCATTTTATGGATACCCAGGGAGCCTGCTGATCCGGGAAACTGTTGCGGTCACCCCCAAGATGTCAGCGGCCGCCTTGGTCCTTGGTGAGGAGGGATCTGTAGTTCTCTCCGTGGATCTTGATCCCCAGCGCTGGCAGTTGTCTGGAGTCTTGGCTCTCCCTCCCAATTTGGCCCCGTCTGCAAACTTGATGATCCTGCCTTCTCGCCCTTCATCTAAGTCATGAATGAAGATCCTGAACAGGACCGGGCCCAGGACAGAACCCTGCAGACGGCACTCCACTCGTCACTTCTTTCCAGGATGAAGAGCAAGCATTGGGGAGAATCACCCTCTGGGTTCGTCCATTTAACCAATTCCAGATCCACCTCACCGTAGTTTTGCCTTGCCCACATCGGACTCGTTTCCTTGCCAGAAGGTCATGGGGAACCTTGTCAAAGAAGGCCTTCCTGAAATCCAGACACGCTCCATCCACGGCATCATTCCCCGCATCTACCCAGCTTGTAGCTCTATCGAAGAAAGAGATCAGATGAGTCTGGCATGACTTGTTTTTGATAAATCCATGTTGACTCTTAGCGATGACTGCATTTGTTTCTAAGTGTTTGCAGACCGCTTCCTTAACAATCTTTTCCAGAATCTTGCCCGGTATCGACGTGAGGCTGACCGGACGGTAGTTGTTTGGGTCATCCTTTTTTCCCTTTTTGAAGATTGGGACCACATTGGCCCTCCTCCAATCTGCTGGAACTTCTCCCGTTCTCCAAGAACTCTCAAAGATGGTTGCCAATGGTTCCGAAATGACTTCTGCTAGTTCCTTCAATACTCTTGGGTGTAGTTGATCTGGCCCTGAAAGGGGACTGGAACTCATTTAGAGCGGCCAGGTATTTCTGGACGACTTGTTTCCCAATTTGGGGTTGGATGTCCTCTAATCCCTCACCCACTCCATCTTGCTGAGGTTGAAGATGACTTTCTTTTTGTGAGAAGACCGAGGCAAAGAAGGCATTAAGTAGTTCTGCCTTTTCCCTATCCCCTGTCAGCATTGCCCCATCTTCTCCTCGAAGAGGCCCTATCGCCTCCTTGTTTTTCCTTTTTCTACCGACATAAGAAAAGAATCCCTTTTTATTGTTTTTAATGTCCCTGGCAAGCCTGAGCTCGTTTTGTGCTTTAGCCTTGCGGACCTTTTCCCTACAGGTGTTGGCTATTTGTTTGAATTCTTCTTTGGTGATTTCTCCCTTTTCCCACTTCTTGTGCATGTCTCTTTTGTGTCTTAGCACAGTTGCAACTGAATAGCAACTGATTGGTGGGGACGAGAGAGAGGGCCTTCTCGATAGTGGCCCCTCGACTCTGGAACTCACTCCCTAAGGACATCAGGCAGGCCCCAACTCTGGCAGTCTTCAGGAGGAGTTTGAAAACGTGGTTGTTCCAGTGTGCCTTCCCAGAATAATGAATCCTCAGCACTTTGTCCTCTAAAGCACTTTATATCGATCTAGGTCTGTTCGTATGTCTCCACTACGCCCCACTTCCTTATCTCGTCCATGACCAGCATCATTTTAAATTTTTAATTACATTTGGCCCAGCCATAGATTTTAAAGTGTTTTGTACTATTGTCAACATCTTGAAGCCATGCAAAGACCGTAACGGCCCAAAAAGCTACAGACCAATCTCCCTGTTGTGCCACCTCTACAAAGTTCTAGAGAGACTTATTTTGCATAGAATTATGGAAAATATAGACCCTTGTCTGATCCCACAGCAAACTGGCTTCAGAAAAGGCACAAGCTGCACATCGCAAGTGCTGAACCTGACTCAGCACATAGAAGATGGCTTTGAAAGGCAGCAGATCACAGGAGCTGTCTTCATAGACCTGTCAGTGGCTTATGAGACTGTGAACCACCTGCCTCCTCCTGAGAAAAATGTATAATATCACAAAGGACGACCACCTCACCCGCCTCATAGGAAACCTGCTACAAAACAGGAGCTTTTTTGTTGAGTTCCAGGGCCAGAGAAGCAGATGGCGGAAACAGAAGAACGGCCTGCCTCAGGGGAGCGTGCTTGCTCCATCCATGTTCAACATCTACACAAATGACCAGCAATGAGGGACAGAGAGTTTCATCTATGCTGATGATCGTGCCATCACCACTCAAGCAGGGAGCTTTGAGATGGTTGAAAAAAAGCTCTCCGAAGCTCTAGGTGCTCGTACTGCGTATTACAGGGAAAACCAACTGATCCCTAATCCATCTAAAACACAGACATGTGCCTTTCATTTCAAGAACAGACAAGCATCCCGAGCTCTGAGGATTATTACCTGGAAAGGAAGGAATCCCACTAGAGCATTGCAGCGCACCCAAATACCTGGGAGTCACTCTGAACCGTGCTCTGACCTACAAGAAGTACTGCCTGAACATCAAGCAAAAAGTGGGCGCTAGAAACAACATCATACGAAAGCTGACTGGCACAACCTGGGGATCACAATCAGACACAGTGAAGACATCTGCCCTTGCGCGATGCTACTCTGCTGCTGAGTACGCATGCCCAGTGTGGAACACATCTCACCACGCTAAAACAGTAGATGTGGCTCTTAATGAGACATACCGCGTTATCATGGGGTGTCTGCGCCCTACACCACTGGAGAAATGACACTGTTTAGCCGGTATTGCACCACCTGACATCCGCCAGGAAGTAGCAGCCAGTAGTGAAAGGACCAAGGCAGAGACATCTCCAGCTCATCCCCTGTTTGGGTATCAGCCAGCACGTCAACGACTTAAATCAAGACATAGTTTTCTTAGATCTACAGAGACACTCGCTGGAACACCTCAGCAAGCGAGAGTCCAAAAGTGGCAGGCCAAACCCAGCACCTCAATCCGTGGGTGATACCAGATGAGGGACTCCCTCCTGGGCACACAGAAAACTGGGCGACTTGGAAGGCGCTGAACAGACTGCGCTCTGGCACCACGAGATGCAGAGCCAACCTCAAGAAATGGGGCCACAAAGTGGAATCCACGACATGTGAGTGCGGAGAAGAGCAAACCACTGACCACCTGCTGCAATGCACCCTGAGCCCTTCTTCCACATGATGCACAAGGGAGGAGCTCCTCATGGCAACACCAGAGGCACTCCAAGGGGCCAGAGACTGGTCAAAGGACATTTAACCAACTACCAAGTTTGCAAAATCTGTGTGTTTTTTTTTCTTTTTAATCTGTGTGTTTGTTTTGTTCTGTTAGAATAGAACACAATGGACAATAAATACTATTGTCAACGCTTATGTTATTGTCTATGTGATTTATTTTAAATGCATGTATTGCTCTTGTTATTGCTTGTATTGTTGTATTGTGGGCTCGGCCTCATGTAAGCCGCACCGAGTCCCTTGGGGAGATGGTAGCGGGGTATCAACAACAACAGTGCTTCAAACTGTGCAAGTTTCCACCCTTGTGGAGATTTGGATGGCTTTGCGTTCTCCCACTTGTTCTTTCCGTCCACGCCTCTTCTCTTTTCGGTGCCAGGGTTTAGATGTGAAAAGGTCCTTTGAAAAAGCTCGACTGCACAACAACAAAAAGTTCCCAGATTCCAAAGATCGGGGAGTGCTGCTGCAGGCGGTGCCAGAGAACGCGATTCCAAAACATCAGGACTGGGCCGGTTCGAGCTGGCGGTCCTTCTCTCGCAGGTGCCGAAACGGTGGGGAAACACAAACAGAGCCGAGGGTCAACCGGGGATGCCGTCCCTGAGATAGAGCAAAGAGCAAAGCCTCACCAAAACAGGCCGGCCAAAACGCAACGGGTTGGAAAGGGCAAGGAAGTAAATGCGGAGATGCCGCGTGTCACGGCATCCTGCCACCACTGAGTCGTCCGGTGTAGAAAACACTTCCCTGGCTGGATTGCGACAAACGGAGCCGGGTACGCGGGTGCAGCGTTGGCACGTAGCTCTTCTGTCCAAAGCTTCCTCCTTCGTGTTGTGTCCTTTGCCATGGCACTGCTGAGTCGTCCAGTGTTGAAGCTTGGTATGTAGCTTCCTTGGTCGGATTGCCCAACGGAGCCAGAGACGCGGGTATAGCTCACATCCAATCGGCACACAAGCTTCCTCTTTCGTTGTGCATCCTTCTCCATGTCACCGATGAGCCATCCGGTGTCGAAACACGGGCATAACATTGGCACGTAGCTCTCCTGGTACACAAGTTTCCACCTCGATGGTGTGTCCGAACCGTCTGGTATTTGAATGCGGGTGTAACGTTGCCACGTAGCCTTGACCGGATTGCGACAGAGCCAGAGACACGGGCATAGCGTTGGCACACTGTTCTCTCATCGAAATCTCTCCTTTGTGGTGCCCAACGAGTGCCATGGCCTGTGGCGGGCCTCGTCCAGAGCGGGCCGGATCTGGCCCCGTTGAGCTCCTTCTGGCCAAGTCGCGGGAAGCCAAAGCCTTTGCCTATTGCCCTTACAGCAAGTACCCCGTCGGGGCGGCCCTCCTGACTTCCGACGGAAAGATCTACACCGGTGAGTGAGTGAGTGAGTGAGTGAGTGAGTGCACTACATGTGATCTCAGCCAAAAGGTCGAGAAGCAAGTGAGTGAGTGAGGATGGAAATGGGCTTCCATTCACTCATGAGGATCTGACCATACTTTTCCAGCAGGACAAGGGTGGACTAGGTGGTCTCTTCCGTGTCGTCTCTTCCGTGTGGGCTCTTCTAACTCTCTTATTCTACTTTCCAGCTCGAGTCACTCTTCTTGGACATCCGAAAGAGATGTCTGCTTAGGACACTCAACGTGGGGGTCGCGACCCCTGGAGGGGTCGTGCGGGGGTTTCAGAGGGATCGCCAAGACCATCAGAAAACATACATTTCTGGCAGAGAAGGCGGAATATCTCACTTCCTATCCCTCTCTTCGTTTTCGGAAACTGACTAGGTGGTCTCTTCCGTGTCGTCTCTTCTTTGTGGGCTTTTCTAACTCTCTTATTCCACTTTCCAGCTCGAGTCACTCTTCTTGGACATCCGAAAGAGATGTCTGCTTAGGACAGTGTTTCTCAACGTGGGGGTCGCGACCACTGTAGGGGTCGTGCGGGGGTTTCAGAGGGGTCGCCAAGACCATCAGAAAACATATATTTCGGGCAGAGAAGGCGGAAGATCTCACTTCCTATCCCTCTCTTCGTTTTCGGAAACTGACTAGGTGGTCTCTTCCGTGTCGTCTCTTCCGTGTGGGCTCTTCTAACTCTCTTATTCTACTTTCCAGCTCGAGTCGCTCTTCTTGGACATCCGAAAGAGATGTCTGCTTAGTGCAGGGGTTTTCAGAGGGGTTGTCAAGACAATATATTTCTGGCATTACATCTCGGCATAGACAAAGCTTTTGATGACTCAAAATGTGGAGACAAGCTGCCATGACTCTACTGAATCAGTGATGTGGTAGGGGAACAAGTTCTTTTTGCTAATTCTTAGGAAAGTAGAGATCCCTAAGTCTGCTCTCAAACAAGCCTGATGACTCTCGTCGCCAGGATGTCCCCAATTAAAATGCTGGGAGTCTCTAATCAAATATCAAGAGTCTCTTAATTGAAGTCTTGGGAGTCACCATGTGGACTGTGTCCATCTCGAAATGGATAGACATCTCGTTGTGATAGTAAACCTTTGCAAAGCAAGACCATAACCAGCTTGGCCTTTTGTTTTTTAGGATGCAACGTCGAAAATGCCTGCTATCCGCTGGGAGTGTGCGCCGAACGCACGGCGATCCAGAAGGCGGTCTCTGAAGGTCACACCCAGTTCCGTGCCATTGCCATTAGCTGGTGGGTACCACGACCTCTCCGTGTATTGCGTGTAATGGGACTGTGTGCCTCTCCAGATGATCGAAGAGATCGTGTGGGTTCGTACACAGAGATGTGGTCATGCAGGTAGGCGGGTCCCAAACCATTCAGGGCTTTGTAGGTGAGCACCTGCACCTTGAATTGGGACAGACTGCCAGGGTTGGGGCTTGCCTAATGTCCTTGAGGAGTGAGTTCCAGAGTCGGGGGGCCACTACCGAGAAGGCCCTCTCTGTAATCTCCACCAATCGCGCTTCTAATGGTGATGGGAGTGCGAGTAGGGCCTCTCCAGATGATCGAAGAGATCGTGTGGGTTCATACACAGAGATGTGGTCGTGCAGGTAGACGGGTCCCAAACCATTCAGGGCTTTGTAGGTAAGCACCTGCACCTTGAATTGGGACAGACTGCCAGGGTTGGGGCTTGCCTAATGTCCTTGGGGAGTGAGTTCCAGAGTGGGGGGGGGGCACCACCGAGAAGGCCCTCTCTCTCGTCCCCACCAATCGCGCTTGCAATGGTGGTGGGAGTGTGAGTAGGGCCTCTCCAGATGATCAAAGAGATTGTGTGGGTTCGTACACAGAGATGCGATCGCGCAGGTAGGCGGGTCCCAAACCATTTAGGGCTTTGTAGGTAAGCACCTGCACCTTGAATTGGGACCGGAAAATGAATGGCAGCCAGTGGAGCTCCTTAAACAGGAGGGATGACCTCTCTCTGTAAGGAGACCCAGTTAACAACCTGGCTGCCACCCGTTGGACCATCTGGAATTTCCGGTCCGTTTTCAAGGGCAGCCCCATGTAGAGTGCATTACAGTAGTCCAATCTGGAGGTGACTAAGGCATGGACCACCCTGGTCAGATCTGCCTTTGTGAGGTACGGTCACAGTTGGCGCACGAGTCTCAATTGTGCGAAAGCCCTCCCAGACACCGCTGACGCCTGAGCCTCAAGCGTAAGTGATGAGTCCAGGAGAACACCCAGACTGCGGACCTGTGGCTTCAGGGGGAATGTAACCCCGTCCAACACAGGTTGCCACCCTGTACCCCGATCCGGTTTACGATCGACCAGGAGGACCTCTTTCTTGTCGGGATTGATCCTCAGCCTGTTCCTCATCCAGATAAGACACAGCGGTCAGGCACTCATCCAGTATCCTCGGACCTTCCACGGTGGAAATGAGTAGTAGAGTTGTGTGTCATCTGCATAGAGATGGCACCCAACTCCAAAACTCTGGATGACCTCTCCCAACGGTTTCATGTAGATGTTGAAAAGCACGGGAGACAGAATGGAGCCTTACGGGACCCCACAGGTCAAAGGCCAGGGGTCCGAGCAGGCGTCTCCCAGCTTCACCATCTGGGATTGACCCTCCAGGAAGGACCGGAGCCACAACAAGGCCCATCCCGGAGAGTTGTCCCAGAAGGAGACCATGATCGATGGTATCGAAAGCCGCTGAGATGTCCAAGAGAACCAACAGAGTCACACTCCCCCCGTCCAGCTCTCTACGGAGGTCATCCACCAAGGCGACCAAGGGATCCACAACCTAGAGTTACGAATCCATACGATATAGCAGTTCAGGATATACACCTATGGATCCATACTCCATATCACTTATTGATTCATTCTCCTCCTTCTGCTTCCGCAGCAAGAGCCAGGACTTCTACGCCGTGCCCTGCGGAGCGTGCCGGCAAGTGCTCAGAGAGGTAAAGAACTATATATTCTCCTCTTGTGACCGTTCCTAAACTCGGGCTCAAAGGTCGCCCCACCGTCCACTGCTGTCCTCCTTTCACACTGACCAGGCGATTACAGTTTAACTGCAGGCAGGTGTCATTTCGGATCAATGATTGGCAGCGCGTTACGCAAGGCAACGGACAGAGTTTCAAGGCAACACAATAAACACCAACCACCAAACCGACAAAACCACACACGTGTCAAAATGCGATTGCAATAAGAGTCGCACGTATTAAATATTTGCCATTATTATTATTATTATTATTATTATTATTATTATTATTATTATTATTATATTATTATTATTTTATCCCGCTTTATCGCTTGATTGAGACACAATCAATCCCTCCTTTGCTCTTTCCATACTTCCTTCTCTCTTTCCTTCCTTCCTTCCTTCCTTCTCTCCTTCCTTCCCTCTCTCTTTCCTTCTTTCTCTTTTTTTCATTCTTCTCTTCTTCCTTCTCTACCTCTTTCTTTCCTTTCTTCCTTTGCTCTTTGGTTCCATCCTTCTCTCTTTCCTTTCTTTCTTTCCTTCCTTCCCTCCCTCTTTATCTCCTTCTTTCCTTCTCTCCTTCCTTCCTTTCCTCTCTCTTTCCTTCTTTCTTTGTTTTCGTTCTCCTCTTCCTTCCTTCTCTATCTCCTTCCTTTCTTCTCTCCTTCCTTCCCTCTCTCTTTTCTTCTTTCTCTTTTTTTTTCTTATCTTCCTTCCTTCACTACCTCTTTCTTTCCTTCCTGGTTCTCTTCCTTTCTTTCCTTCTTTCTTTCTTTCCTTCCTCCTCCCTTCCTCTTTCTCCTTCTTCCTTCCTTCTTCCCCTCTTTCCTTCTCTTCCTTCTTTTTTTTCTCCCTTCCTTCCTTCTTATCTCCTTCCTTCCTTCTCTCTTTCCCTTCCTTCCCTCTCTCTTTCCTTCTTTCTCTTTTTTTTGTTCTTCCTTCCTCTACCTCTTTCTTTCCTTCCTTCCTTTCTTTGGTTCCATTTTCCTTCTCTCCTCCTTCTTTCTTTTCTTTCTTTCCTTCTCCCTCTTTCTCCTTCTTTCCTTCTCTCCTTCCTTCCCTCTCTCTTTCCTTCTTTCTCTTTGTTTTCATTCTCCTCTTCCTTCCTTCTCGATCTCCTTTCTCCATCCTTCCTTTCCTCCTTCTTTCTCTCCTTCTTTCCTTCTCTCCTTCCTTCCCTCTCTCTTTCCTTCTTTCTCTTTTTCTTTTTTTTCGTTCTTCTCTTCCTTCCTTCTCTACCTCTTTCTTTCCTTCCTTTGCTCTTTGGTTCCATCCTTCCTTCTCCCTCCTCTTCCTTCCTTCCTTCCTTCCTTCCTTCCTTCCTTCCTTCTCTCTTTTCCTTCCTTCCTTTCCTCCCTTCCTTCCTTCCTTCCTTCCTTCCTTCTTCATTCTACTCTTCCTTCCTTCTGTATCTCCTTCCTTCCTTCTTTCTCTCCTTCTTTCCTTCTCTCCTTCCTTCCTTCCCTCCTTTCCTCCTTTCTCTTTTTCATTCTTCTCTTCCTTCCTTCTCTACCTCTTTCTTTCCTTCCTTCCTTTGCTCTTTGGTTCCATCCTTCCTTCTCCCCTTCCTTTCTTACTTTTCTTCCTTCTTTCCTTCCTTCCTTCTTTCTCTCCTTCTTTCCTTCTCTCCTTCCTTCCCTCTCTCTTTCCTTCTTTCTCTTTTTTTTGTTCTTCTCTTCCTTCCTTCTCTACCTCTTTCTTTCCTTCCATTCTTTGCTCTTTGGTTCCATCCTTCCTTTTCTCTTTCCTTTCTTACTTTTCTTCCTTCCTTCCTTCCTTCCTTCCTTCCTTCCTTCCTTCCTTCCTTCCTTCTCTCCTTCCTTCCCTCTTTCCTTCTTTCTCTTTTTCTTTTTTTCGTTCTTCTCTTCCTTCCTTTTCTACCTCTTTCTTTCCTTCCTTCCTTTGCTCTCTAGTTCCATCCATCCTTCCTTCCTTCCTTCTTTCTCTCCTTCTTTCCTTCTCTCCTTCCTTCCTTCCATCTCTCTTTCCTTCTTTCTCTTTTTCATTCTCTTTCCTTTCCTTTCCTCCCTTCCTTCCTTCCTTCCTTCCTTCCTTCTTCATTCTACTCTTCCTTCCTTCTGTATCTCCTTCCTTCCTTCTTTCTCTCCTTCTTTCCTTCTCTCCTTCCTTCCTTCCCTCTCTCTTTCCTTCTTTCTCTTTTTCTTTTTTTCATTCTTCTCTTCCTTCCTTCTCCTTTATTTTCAAAGGGACACTTCTCCCCTCCGACGACAGCCTTAAAGCAGAATCCCTGCCTCTTGAAGGACAGTCTGTGATCCAGTCCATTGACTCCTGATTTCATTTAAACTGCAATTCATTACGCTCTTCCTGTGCTCATTCAAGAAGCCATTGTTCTGGCTAGTCCTTCCTTTTCGAACTCTGGCATGCGGCCTTCTTTGCTCTATGGTTCCAATCAGAGGGTCATATTGTACTTGCCTGGTGACCTACGTGACTTCCTTCCCTTCATTCCCGCCCTACCTAATAGCGGTAGCGACGTCTTTCAAACGTTGCCGGTAGTGCTCTGTTGTGGTCAGGTATAACTCTGTCCTTCCACGGATCAGGCTCCTTCAGGCATCACACTCATGAAGCTCACGTCCGTCTAGACTGCTTGCACACTCGATGAGTTACGTCTTTTTCTTGGTTTGTCAGTCTTCTATTCATGAAGGTCTCAACCTTCTGTGCTTGCCTGCCTTGATGGGCACGTCTTGGGTGAAAGACTTCCTTCTCCCCTTCCTTCCTTCCTTCCTTCCTTCCTTCCTTCCTTCCTTCTTTCTCTCCTTCTTTCCTTCCTTCCTTCCATCTCTCTTTCCTCCTTTCTCTTTTTCATTCTTCTCTTCCTTCCTTCTCTACCTCTTTCTTTCCTTCCTTCCTTTGCTCTTTGGTTCCATCCTTCCTTCTCCCCTTCCTTTCTTACTTTTCTTCCTTCTTTCCTTCCTTCCTTCTTTCTCTCCTTCTTTCCTTCTCTCCTTCCTTCCCTCTCTCTTTCCTTCTTTCTCTTTTTTTCATTCTTCTCTTCCTTCCTTCTCTACCTCTTTCTTTCATTCCTTCCTTTGCTCTTTGGTTCCATCCTTCCTTCTCTCTTTCCTTTCTTTTCTTCCTTCCTTCCTTCCTTCCTTCCTTCCTTCGCTCTTTGGTTCCATCCTTCCTTGCCAGGAAAAGGATTATTATTATTATTATTATTACTATTACTGTTATTATTACTATTACAACTAGTATTATTATTAGGACCCACTTTTATCTCTTGATTGAGATGCAAAGTAATTCCAGGAAGAGACAATGATGGGAGACAATTGCTTCAGTTGAGGCAACGTCAGGATAATGCCAAGTTTCATGTACCAAGGTTTGCCTAACTCATGTTTTGTCTATGACATATGCTTCTTGTGTTGCTCATGGATTCAAGTGCCTAGTTTTATGGATTTCCTTTGCCTCTTTGTTCCTTTGTGACTGATGGAAGAAATGATGATGGGAGACAATTGCTTCAGTTGAGGCAACATCAGGATAATGCCAAGTTTCATGTACCAAGTTCTGCCTAGCTCATATATGCTTCTTGTGTTGCTCATGAATTCAAGTGCCTAGTTTTATGGATTTCCTTTGACTCTTTGTTCCTTTGCATCTGACGGACTAAATTTTACTGTGAATTACTTTTTTCTGCGTTGGCTACATATATTCTTAAAGAAACTGCTTGCTGATCTTACCCAGCTAGTGTGGTGTCTAAAGTGATTCTGCTCTGGAGTATGACAGAGGGATGTCATTATTACTATTATGTCCTGCTTTTATCTCTTGATTGAGATGCAAAGTAATTCCAGGAAGAGATGATGATGTCGCTTCAGTTGAGGCAACGTCAGGATAACACCAAGTTTCATGTAAAGCCTCCATCTTTGAAAACTAGGCACTTGAATCCATGAGTGACACGATGATGATGATGATGATGATGATGATGATGATGATAATGATCATGTCCTGCTTTTATCTCTTGATTGAGATGCAAAGTAATTCCAGGAAGAGATGATGATGTCGCTTCTGTTGAGGCAACGTCAGGATAACACCAAGTTTCATGTAAAGTCTCCATCTTTGGAAACTAGGCACTTGAATCCATGAGCGACACAAGATGATGATGATGATACTGATAAGATGATCTCTTGATGATACAATCAAGAGATACCTGCTTTTATCTCTTGATTGAGATGCAAAGTAATTCCAGGAAGAGATGATGTTGCTTCAGTTGAGGCAACGTCGGGATAACACCAAGTTTCATGTAAAATTTCCATCTTTGGAGACATGAAGTCTCCATCTTTGGAAACTAGGCACTTGAATCCATGAGTGACACAAGATGATGATGATGATGATAATGATCACGTCCTGCTTTTATCTCTTGATTGAGATGCAAAGTAATTCCAGGAAGAGATGATGATGTTGCTTCAGTTGAGGCAACGTCAGGATAACACCAAGTTTCAAGTTCCTCAGCAACACAAGATGATGATAATGATGATGATGATGATTATAGGGGAATTGCAGTTTTCCAAAGCGCATGCCATTCATTCTACCTTTCCCTTTCTCCTTAGTTTGGCAAAGACTGGGACATATACCTGACCAAGGCAGGGGACGATGAGACCTACATCCACAAGACCTTGGAAGAACTCTTGCCCCTTTCTTTTGGACCGGAAAACCTCCAAAAACTGGGGGGAAATTGAATATATTTGCATATATTTGAATCTCAAAGAGACTGCGAATGGGTTTGAAGTCGAGCATGCCCCCCCCCAACAAGGGATGGTGACTTATAGTTCTGCAAAGGACAAAGGTACCAGACTGCACAATAGGGGTTAAGTCTTGGTCAATTTGCCAAGGCCTTAACAACAATGAGGACCCCATGAAACTTCGGGAATAGCTAGACCTTGGGGTCTCTGCCTCTCTCGGGAGCTGTAGTTCTCCAAGGACGGGGAGCAAAGCTTGTTTCCAGAGACACCAGGTCCATTTGGGCCACTCAAGAACCCCTGCCAGGACCTTTGTGCAACACGCTTGCGTTTTAGCCATCCCCTATGGACACTCTTTCCCCCCACATGGACAAACCTTATGAAATCTTGCCTTTTATGAACTTTAGATATATGAAATGAGTTTTCTGACTTCTTTGTGTGGCAGAAGCCTTTCCCCTTTTCCTCTGCCCTTTGTTTCCCCTATATACATGAAGAAACTCCACCAAAGGGACTACAAAGCCCCAAACATCCCAGGAATTTTTTATCCACAACTTCCTTTTGCATGGACAATAGCCTGGGCAGCTGGTGGTCCTCGGAGGAATTGCCCAGCCCTCAGCTTGCCCCTTTGGCAAAAATCTTAATCATATTTCCTCCTGAAGGACAAAAGGTCCTCGGAAAAACCTTTTGCCTTCGCTCTGATTATTCATTCCACTCAAAGCACAATAGATCAGGCTGGCCTTTGTCTCGCCAGCCACATGGCATGGCACTTCCTTTCCCAGATTCCTTTGTGATCCATCTAGGGCTGGGCAACCACGGAAAAATTTGTTTCTAAAATCGATTCGTTTTTTGGGGGGTTTTGCGTTTCGATTTTTAAAAGAATTCCGAAATTTTTCTTTTTGAACTTTCGAAAATTACAAAACAATTACGAAACAATTACGAATCGATTCGTTAATGGCGGACGCGACCGCGCAATACGCTCAAAAACCTCCAAATGGGACAGGGGGAACTTCTGAAGCTTCCCTCTCCCTCTGTTGTTGACTGTTGGTGTGATATTTATAATTTTTCTTCACTGATTAAACAAACAACAACTATAAAACTTGCCCCAGACATGCGGAAATAATAACGAAACGATTTCAAAACGATAACGAAACGAATACAGAACGAATTCGAAACAATTACGAAACAATTTAAAAATTCGTTTCGTTTTTTAGTTGCTCCTGAATGGTTCGTTATTGCTTCGTTATATATATTAAAAAAACCCGAATTTTTAACGAATTACGAAATTACGAAACGAAACCGCCCAGCCCTAGTTCCATCATCCCGCCTCCGTCTCTCCTGATTGGCTGTCGCCACCAGGTGGCAGAGGTCTCCCCACTGGTTCCTACGGACCACTGGAGCCCATCGCCCAATCATGGCAGGGAACAACAGGGAAGTCGGGGCGGGGAGTTTGAACTCTGCAACTTTGAATTTACTATAAATATGACTGTATTGGTGTATTCTCCTCATGCTTAGCTTGGCGAATTATTGCGGCTTTGCATCCGTTTCAGCTGAATCATAGAATCAAAGAGTTGGAAGAGACCTCATGGGCCATCCAGTCCAACCCCATTCGGCCAAGAAGCAGGAATATTGCATTCAAATCACCCCTGACAGATGGCCATCCAGCCTCTGCTTAAAAGCTTCCAAAGAAGGAGCCTGCACCACACTCCGGGGCAGAGAGTTCCACTGCTGAACAGCTCTCACAGTCAGGAAGTTCTTCCTCATGTTCAGATGGTCATCGCATTAAACCTCGATGGCTTTTCTTCAACTGGTGAGACTTTTCATTGGGAAATCAGGGGAAAATACGGGATGCTTCTCTGTCTCGCCAGGGAAAAAGAACTCTTTGCGGAGTCTAATTGGTCTCTGCCTCCTGGCAAAGACCCCTAAATTTTAGCTCTAGAACAGGTTGGGGATATATATGAGAGTCGTCAGGCTTGTCATTGGGGTTGGCTTCCACCTATAGAATTCTATGATCTTTCAACACGAATGTAGTGTCCATCTTTGGAAACCTTGGGGCAGGGCTGGATGGCCATCTCTCTGGAAGGTTTGAATGGTGTCTTCCTCTACAGCAGAGAAAGGGCTGGACTGGATGGCTTTTGGTGTTCCGTTTCCACGACAAACTTTCAATACAGAATGAATAAACAGTGGAGTCTCTATGTGTTGTAATTAAGTAGAGACTGGCTGGAGGGTAAACTACAACTCCCACTATGGCGAGTTAGTCCCCTCAAACCCCTCCAAGAGGTTGGGTTAGTCATGGAGGTTCTGTGTGCCAAGTTTGGTCCAAGGTCCATCATCGGTGGAGGTCTCCGTTTCCTTGGAGACCTCCACTTCCAAAGACATCCAGTTGGTCATGTTTTGTGGGAGATGATTGCTTCAGTTGAGGCAACGTCAGGATAACAACAAGTTTCATGTACCAAGCTCATTGTGCCAAGTGAACTACAACTCCAGAAAGGAAGGCTAGTTCCCTGCAAACCCCTCCAGTAATCAAATTTCGGCGTATCGGGTATGTGGGCCTAGTCTGGGGCAGAGCCATCAGTGTTTGGGTTCACTGATGCAGGTGAACTACAACTCCCCAAATCAAGGTGAATTTTCCCCAAAGGCCTTCAGTATTTTTTGCTGGTCATGGGGCCTCTGTGTGTCAAGTTTGGTCTAATTCCATCTTTGGTGGAGTTCAGAGTGCTTACTGATTGATGGTGAACTATAAATCCCAGTACTTACAACTCCAAAATGTCCAGGCCAATATCCCTCAAAACCCACCAGTATTCAAATTTGAGTATATTGGGTATTCATGCCAAGTTTGGTCCAAATCCATCACTGTTTGAGTTCATAGTACGCTCTGGATGTAGGTGAACTACAACTCCTATAAATACCTCCAAAGACATCCAATTGGTCATGATTTGTGGGAGACAATTGCTTCAGTTGAGGCAACGTCAGGATAACAAGTGGTCCAGATCCATCACTGTTTGAGTTCATAGTATGCTCTGGATGTAGGCGAACTACAACTCCTATAAATACCTCCAAAGACATCCAATTGGTCATTATTTGTGGGAAACAATTGCTTCAGTTGAGGCAACGTCAGCATAACAACAAGTTTCATGCACCAAGCTCATTGTGCCAAGTTAGTTCCATGTCCATCGTTGGTGGAGTTCAGAGTGATCTTAGATTGCAGGTGAACTATACATCCCAGTACCTACTGGGCAGTACTACTACTACTACTACTGTCATGCAAATTTCACACCAATGGAGAAACACTGGGATATCTGTAGTAGAGGGAACATATAAAATTTAAGACGGAATTGTCCTCGAATGAAAGCCTTCACTTGGGTGGTGGGCACTACTACTACTACTACTACTACTACTACTACTACTGTCATGCAAATGTCACACCAATGGAGAGAGAAGGAAACACTGGGATGTCTGTAGTAGAGGGAACTTATAAAATCTAAGATGGAATTGTCCCCAAATTAAAGCCTTCACTTGGGTGTTGGGCAGTACTACTACTACTACTACTACTACTGTCATGCAAATTTCACACCAATGGAGAGGGGAAGAAACACTGGGATATCTGTGGTGGAGGGAACATATAAAATCTAAGACGGAATTGTCCCCGAATGAAAGCCTTCACTTGGGTGGTGGGCATTACTACTACTGCTGCTGCTGCTGCTGCTACTACTACTACTACTGCTGTCATGCAAATTTCACACCAATGGAGAGAGAAGGAAACACTGGGATGTCTGTGGTGGAGGGAACATATAAAATCTAAGATGGAATTGTCCCTGAATGAAAGCCTTCACTTGGGTGGTGGGCAGTACTACTACTACTACTACTACTGTCATGCAAATTTCACATCAATGGAGAGAGAAGGAAGCACTGGGATGTCTGTGGTGGAGGGAAACATATAAAATCTAAGATGGAATTTTGCCCGAATGAAAGCCTTCCCTTGGGTGGTGGGCAGTACTACTACTACTACTACTGTCATGCAAATTTCCACCAATGGAGAGAGAAGGAAACACTGGGATGTCTGTGGTGGAGGGAACATATAAAATCTAAGATGGAATTGTGCCCAAATGAAAGCCTTCCCTTGGGTGGTGGGCAGTACTACTACTACTACTACTACTACTACTACTACTGCCATGCAAATTTCACACCAATGGAGAGAGGAGGAAACACTGGGATATCTGTGGTGGAGGGAACATATAAAATCTAAGACGGAATTGTCCCCGAATGAAAGCCTTCACTTGGGTGGTGGGCATTACTACTACTACTGCTGCTGCTGCTGCTACTACTACTACTACTGCTGTCATGCAAATTTCACACCAATGGAGAGAGAAGGAAACACTGGGATGTCTGTGGTGGAGGGAACATATAAAATCTAAGATGGAATTGTCCCTGAATGAAAGCCTTCACTTGGGTGGTGGGCAGTACTACTACTACTACTACTACTACTGTCATGCAAATTTCACATCAATGGAGAGAGAAGGAAGCACTGGGATGTCTGTGGTGGAGGGAAACATATAAAATCTAAGATTGAATTGTGCCCGAATGAAAGCCTTCCCTTGGGTGGTGGGCAGTACTACTACTACTACTACTACTGCCATGCAAATTTCCACCAATGGAGAGAGAAGGAAACACTGGGATGTCTGTGGTGGAGGGAACATATAAAATCTAAGATGGAATTGTCCCTGAATGAAAGCCTTCACTTGGGTGGTGGGCAGTACTACTACTACTACTACTACTGTCATGCAAATTTCACATCAATGGAGAGAGAAGGAAGCACTGGGATGTCTGTGGTGGAGGGAACATATAAAATCTAAGATGGAATTGTCCCTGAATGAAAGCCTTCCCTTGGGTGGTGGGCAGTACTACTACTACTACTACTACTACTACTACTACTACTGCCATGCAAATTTCCACCAATGGAGAGAGAAGGAAACACTGGGATGTCTGTGGTGGAGGAAACATATAAAATCTAAGATGGAATTGTGCCCGAATGAAAGCCTTCCCTTGGGTGGTGGGCAGTACTACTACTACTACTACTGCCATGCAAATTTCACACCAATGGAGAGAGAAGGAAACACTGGGATGTCTGTGGTGGAGGGAAACATATAAAATCTAAGATGGAATTGTCCCCGAATGAAAGGCTTCACTTGTGTGGTGGGCAGTACTACTACTGCTACTGTCATCGAACACAGGGACCCCTGCCTTCAAATTGATGTGACCGCAGCAGGGAGTTCCACAGTTCCTGGTCCATTAATTAACCAAATACCAATGGAGGCAGTGGCACTGGCAACAGCTACAACAAGGAACTCTTTTCTCTTCCTTTCAGGCTCTCCTGGCCACTTAGTGGGACCTCCTAAATACATGTTCTGCTTCACTACTACTAGCAGAACCTGGATGGCCATCTGTCGGGAAGGCTTTGATGGTGTGCTCCTCTATGGCTGAAAGGGGTTGGACTGAAAGGACTTTGGGGGTCCTGTGTAACACTTTGACTCTATTAAATTATTATTGTTGTTGTTGTTATTATTAGCGGAACTTGGGACTCTTGGATTCTATGATTCACAGGCTGGATGGCCATCTGTCGGGAGGGCTTTGATGGTGTATCCCATTATGTCAGAAAGGGGTTGGACTGGATGACCTTTAGAGGTACCTTCCAACTCTATTAAATTATTATTATTGTTATTATTAGCAGAATTTCAGACTCTTGGTTTCTATGATTCAGAGGCTGGATGGTCATCTGCATGGATGGTTTTGATGGTGTTTCCCATTATGTCAGAAGGGGGTTGGACTGGATAACCTTTGGGGGTCCCTTCCGACTCTAGGTTTTTATTATTATTATTATTATTATCAGAGCTTGGATGACCATCTCTCTGGATGGTTTTGATGGTGTTTCCCATTATGTCAGAAGGGGGTTGGACTGGATGACCTTTGGGGGTCCCTCCCGACTCTAGGTTTCTATTATTATTATTATTATTATTATTATTATTAGCAGAACTTGGATGACCATCTGTCCGGATGGTTTTGATGGGGTTTCCCATTATGCCAGGAGGCTTGGATGACCATCTGCCTGGACGGTTTTGATGGTGTTTCCCATTATGTCAGAAAGGGGTTGGACTGGATGACCTTTGGGGGTCCCTCCTGACTCTAGGATTCTATTATTATTATTATTATTAGCAGAGCTTGGATGACCATCTGTCTGGACGGTTTTGATAGTGTACCCATTATGTCATGAGGCTTGGATGACCATCTGTCTGGATGGTTTTGATGGTGTTTCCCATTATTTCAGAAAGGGATTGGATGACCATCTGCCTGGACGGTTTTGATGGGGTTTCTCATTATGTCAGGAGGCTTGGATGACCATCTGCCTGGATGGTTTTGATGGTGTTTCCCATTATGTCAGAAAGGGCTTGGATGGCCATCTGCCTGGACAGTTTTGATGGTGTTTTCCATTATGTCAGAAAGGGCTTGGATGGCCATCTGCCTGGACAGTTTTGATGGTGTTTCCCATTATGTCAGAAAGGGCTTGGATGACCATCTGCCTGGATGGTTTTGATGGTGTTTCCCATTATGTCAGAAGGGGGTTGGACTCGATGACCTTTGGGAGTCCCTTCCGACTCTAGGATTCTATTATTATTATTATCATTATTATTATTAGCAGAGCTTGGATGACTATCTGCCTGGACGGTTTTGATGGTGTATCCCTGAAGGAAACGCAATAGCCTTCTGCGCATGCGCAAGGATGGCCTAGCAGGAGGAGTGGTCTAGGAGGCGTCACAATCCCGGCCACAACCACAACTCCAGCTCGGGGCTGCGATGGCGCTCCGTCAGGCGCTAGGCCGCGGGGCCCGCTTGGGCCGGGCCTTGCTGTGGCGCTGGGTCGGAGGGGCGCCGCGGCCTCCTCTTCCGGTTCATCCCCCCGCAGCCCTCCCGCTCCGCCCGGGGGGCTTCCTACGCGAGGCCGCGGCTTGGCTAGGCCTCACCCGGAGCCCACGCTTCTTCCCCCAAAGGGTCCCGCTTGGGCCTCGCCGCCTCGGCTTGGCCTTCAGCCTCGGCCTCGCGTTGTTTGAGCCCGCGCTGGCCGAGCAGAGGAGGGCGGACGAGGCTTGCCAGGACATCCAGGTGGGCGGAGACAAATTGAGCCAGGCGTAGGCCGGAGGACTAGGCCGCGTTGCCGTGGAAACGGTACTGTCTAGGCCTTGTTGCCAAGGAAACGGGAGAGTAGTCGCAGGTGGAGACAGGAAGGCTTTTGCGCAGGCGCAGAAGGATGAGCCCTCATGGAGGCCAAAAAATATCACAATTAGAATATAATCTGAAAATAATAGAAAATTAAATATAAAATAAATAATATAAATAATATGAAAATAATAGAAAAATATGAAATAATAGGAAATAATAATATAGAATAATATAAAGTTAAATATAAAATAAAATATAAAATAAATAATAGGAAATAAATGAAATAAAATATAAATAATATAAAATAATATAAAATAAATATAAAATAAATAATATGAAAAATAATATATAAATAATAATAAATAATAATATAAAATAAATATAAATATAAAAATAATAAATAATAAAATATAAATATATAAAATATAAAATATAAAATAAATAATATGAAATAATATAAAATATGAAAATAATATGAAATATTATAAAATAATATTGTTTTATAATAATAAAAAATACAATATAATGAAATAGATATAAAAATATAAAATAATATGAAATAATAATATAAAATAATATAAAATTAAATATAACATAAATAATATGGAAAAAATAATTTCAGGAATTAAATTGGATTATATAATAATAATAATAATAATAATAATAATAATAATAATAATTATGAATAATAATATGAATAATAATATGTAATAATTAATAATATGTATTACTAATAATGATTATTAATTATTATTATTATAATAATATAAATAATAAATAAAATTAAATAAAATAAATAATATGAAAATAATATAAAATATAATATAATATGAAATTATAAAATAATATAAATATAATATAAATAATATGAAATAGATATAAAAATATAAAATAATATAAATAATATAAAAACATAAATAATATGAAAATAATATAAAATGAAAAAAAATAATATGAAATAATAATATAAAATAATATGAAATAATAATCTAAAATAATATGAAATAATAATCTAAAATAATATAAAATTAAATATAACATAAATAATATGAAAGTAATATAAAATATAAAATAATATGAAATAATAATATGAAAATAATATAAAATATGAAATAATAATAATAAAATAATAATATAAAATAATAAAAATTTAAATATAAAATAAATAATCTGAAAGTAACATAAATATGAAATAATAATATAAAATATTATAAAATAGTATTTTTATAATAATATAAAATAAAATATAATGAAATGGATATAAAAATATGAAATAAAAATATAGAATAATATGAAAAGATATAAAAATATAAAATAATATGAAATAATAATCTAAAATAATATAAAATAATGATATAGAATAATATAAAATTTAATATAAAATAAATAATGTGAAAATAATATAAAAATATAAAATAATATAAAATAAAATATAAAATGAATAATATGAAGATAATATAAAAATATAAAATATGAAATAATAATATAAAATAAATATTATGAAAATAATATGAAATAATAATATAAAACATTATAAAAGAATATAATTTTATAATAATATAAAATATAATATAATGAAATAGATATAAAATATAAAATAAATATATAGAATAATATGAAATAATAATATAAAATATAATCATATAAAAGAAGGAAGAAATAAGGAAACAGATATAAAATAAAATAAAAATATAGAATAATATGAACATAATATAAATATATGAAGATAATTATTATATTTTATAATAATATAAAATAACACGAAATCTTTGTATAAACAGAAGGAAGAAATAAGGAAATAGATATAAAATAAAAATATAGAATGATATGAAAATAATATAAATATATGAAATAATATCAAATAATATTAAAATTAAAATAAAAAATATAGAATAATATGAAAATAATATAAATATATGAAATAATATCAAATAATAATATTAAAATTAAAATAAAAAATATAGAATAATATGAAATATATGAAATAATAATAAAAGATATAATCATATAAAAGAAGGAAGAAATAAGGAAATAGATATAAAATAAATAAAAATATAGAATATGATGAAAATAATATAAAATAATATGAAATAATAATATAAAATATAATCATATAAAATAACACGAAATATTTGTATAAACAGAAGGAAGAAAAAAGGAAATCGATATAAAATAAAAATATAGAATAATATGACATAATATAAAATATAAAATAACACGAAATCTTTGTATAAAGAGAAGAAATAAGGAAATAAAATAAATAAAAATATAGAATAATATGGAAAGAATATAAATATATGAAATAGTATCAAATAATAGTTGAGTCTGTATGTAAGTCGGAAGAGGGGCCTTGTTTGTAACTCGAGGGTGGCCTGTGTATCAGGACTCCCAAAACACATCCATATATATATATATAGTATATGTCTTTCTTCTTCTCCCAATCAGACCCTCTTCGCCCGGAGGAGCAAGCCCCATCGAGAGACCCCGGGGTTGCCCCGCCAGCGTGGCTTCCGATTGGAGGAATACACCATTGGGAGGCCCCTTGGGAAGGGGTGCAGTGCCGCCGTCTACGAAGCCGCCGTACCCTTTGGGATCGGGGCCGCCCCCCAGGACGATGAGGCCGGGCCCACCACCTTCCCCTGGGCCATCAAGATGATGTGGAACATCTCGGTGAGCATCCCCACGCGGAAGAAGAAGACTTCCCTCGGAGAGGGTTCTCATGCATAGATCATATAGTTCTATGTTGTTGTTCATTCGTTCAGTCGTCTCCGACTCTTCGTGACCTCATGGACCAGCCCACGCCAGAGCTCCCTGTTGGCCGTCACCACCCCCAGTCTCTTCAAGGTCAGTCCAGTCACTTCAAGGATGCCATCCATCCATCTTGCCCTTATTACGGTTTTATTTTTCTCCCTTCCTTCTTCTTCTTTCTTTCTTTCTTTCTTTTTCTTTCTTTCTTTCTTTCTTTCTTTCTTTCTTTCCCTTCCTGCTTACCTTCCTTCCTTCCCTTTTTCCTTTCTTTCTTTCTTTCTTTCTTTCTTTCTTTCTTTCTTTCTTTCTTTCCCTTCCTGTTTACCCTCCTTCCTTCCCTTTATCCTTTCTTTCTTTCTTTCTTTCTCTTCCTTCCATCCTTCTTTCCCTTTCTTTCTTTCTTTCTTTCTTTCTTTCTTTCTTTCTTTCTTTCTGTCTTCCTTCCTTCCCTTTCTTTCTTTTCCCTTCTTTCCTTCCTTCCCTCCCTCCATCCCTCCTTCCCCTTCCTTCCTTCCCTCCTCCCTTATGTCTCTCCTTCTTTCCTCTTCCCTTCTTTCTCTTTCTGTGTCATGCCTGCCCCCTTTCCTTTCTCTTACTTCATTTCCTTTCTTTCCCTTTCTCTCCTTCCTTCCCCTTATGCCTCTTCCACTTTCTTTCTTTCCTTCACTCTCTTTCTTTTTCCTTTCTTTCTTTCTTTCTTCCTTTCCCTTCCTGCTTACCTTCCTTCCTTCCCTTTTTCCTTTCTTTCTGTCTGTCTGTCTGTCTTTCTCTTCCTTCTTTCCCTTTCTTTCTTTCTGTTCCTTCTTTCTTTCTTTCTTTCTTTCTTTCTTTCTTTCCCTTCCTGTTTACCCTCCTTCCTTCCCTTTATCCTTTCTTTCTTTCTTTCTCTTCCTTCCATCCTTCTTTCCCTTTCTTTCTTTCTTTCTTTCTTTCTTTCTTTCTTTCTTTCTTTCTTTCTGTCTTCCTTCCTTCCCTTTCTTTCTTTTCCCTTCTTTCCTTCCTTCCCTCCCTCCATCCCTCCTTCCCCTTCCTTCCTTCCCTCCTCCCTTATGTCTCTCCTTCTTTCCTCTTCCCTTCTTTCTCTTTCTGTGTCATGCCTGCTTCTCTTACTTCATTTCCCTTTCTCTCCTTCCTTCCCCTTATGCCTCTTCCACTTTCTTTCTTTCCTTCACTCTCTTTCTTTTTCCTTTCTTTCTTTCTTTCTTTCTTTCTTTCTTTCCCTTCCTGCTTACCTTCCTTCCTTCCCTTTTTCCTTTCTTTCTTTCTTTCTTTCCCTTCCTGTTTACCCTCCTTCCTTCCCTTTATCCTTTCTTTCTCTTCCTTCCATCCTTCTTTCCCTTTCTTTCTTTCTTTCTTTCTTTCTTTCTTTCTTTCTTTCTTTCTGTCTTCCTTCCTTCCCTTTCTTTCTTTTCCCTTCTTTCCTTCCTTCCCTCCTCCCTTATGTCTCTCCTTCTTTCCTCTTCCCTTCTTTCTCTTTCTGTGTCATGCCTGCCCCCTTTCCTTTCTCTTACTTCATTTCCTTTCTTTCCCTTTCTCTCCTTCCTTCCCCTTATGCCTCTTCCACTTTCTTTCTTTCCTTCTCTCTCTTTCTTTTTCCTTTCTTTCTTTCTTTCTTTCTTTCTTTCTTTCTTTCTTTCCCTTCCTGTTTACCCTCCTTCCTTCCCTTTATCCTTTCTTTCTTTCTCTTCCTTCCATCCTTCTTTCCCTTTCTTTCTTTCTTTTCCCTTCTTTCCTTCCTTCCCTTCCTTCCCTCCCTCCATCCCTCCTTCCCCTTCCTTCCTTCCCTCCTCCCTTATGTCTCTCCTTCTTTCCTCTTCCCTTCTTTCTCTTTCTGTGTCATGCCTGCTTCTCTTACTTCATTTCCCTTTCTCTCCTTCCTTCCCCTTATGCCTCTTCCACTTTCTTTCCTTCTCTCTCTTTCTTTTTCCTTTCTTTCTTTCTTTCTTTCTTTCTTTCCCTTCCTGCTTACCTTCCTTCCTTCCCTTTTTCCTTTCTTTCTTTCTTTCTTTCTTCCTTCCCCCCTTTTTCTTTCCCTTCTTTCTTTCTTTCTTTCTTTCTTTCTTTCTTTCTTTCTTTCTTTCTTTCCCTTCCTGTTTACCCTCCTTCCTTCCCTTTATCCTTTCTTTCTTTCTCTTCCTTCCATCCTTCTTTCCCTTTCTTTCTTTCTTTCTTTCTGTCTTCCTTCCTTCCCTTTCTTTCTTTTCCCTTCTTTCCTTCCTTCCTTCCCTCCCTCCATCCCTCCTTCCCCTTCCTTCCTTCCCTCCTCCCTTATGTCTCTCCTTCTTTCCTCTTCCCTTCTTTCTCTTTCTGTGTCATGCCTGCTTCTCTTACTTCATTTCCCTTTCTCTCCTTCCTTCCCCTTATGCCTCTTCCACTTTCTTTCTTTCCTTCACTCTCTTTCTTTTTCCTTTCTTTCTTTCTTTCTTTCTTTCTTTCTTTCTTCCTTCCTTCTTACCCTTTCTTTCTTTTCCATTCTTCCTTCCTTCCCTTCCTTCTTCCCTCCCTCCCTCCCTCCTCCCCCTTCCTTCCTTCCTTCCTTCCTTCCTTCCTTCCTTCCTTCCTTCCTTCCTTCCTCCCTCCCTCCCTCCCTCCCTCCCTCCCTCCTCCCTTACATCTCACTCCTCCCTTCCTTCCTCTTCCTTTCTTTCTCTTTCTTTGTCATGTCTGCCCCTTCCTTTCTCTTTCTCTCCTTCCTCCTTTTCATATCTCTTCCACTTTCCGTTCTCTTCCTGCCTTCCTTTTCCCTCCCTAACTTCCCACTTCCTTCCTTTCCTTTCTTTCCCTTTCTCTCCTTCCTTCCCTTTACACTCCTTCCACTTTTCCCTCCCTCCCTTCCTTCCTTCCTTCCTTCCTTCCTTCCTTCCTTCCTTCAAGGAATTTGCAGAAGCAAAGCCATCTCTCTGTTTCCTTGTATTTTCAGGCCGGGTCATCAAGCGAAGGCATCCTCCGCTCCATGTCTCAGGAGCTGGTCCCAGCCAGCAGTGCCGCCATCGCTGGAGAATTTGGGACTATTGCATGTCACAGGTATGGTTACAGTCCCGTGCTATAGCAGACCCATACAAGCCCTATACCTATAAGAGTCTTATGGCTGTAAGAGCCCTACGGAAGCCCTATGGCAGCTTGGGAGCGATCCTGGACTCATCGCTGAGCCTGGAGCCCCAGGTCTCGACAGTGGCCAGGAGAGCTTTTGCGCCCGTACCTTGGGAAGTCGGATCTGGCCACGGTCGTCCACGCTCTTGTTACATCCCGATTAGACTACTGCAATGCACTCTACGTGGGGTTGCCCTTGAAGACTGTTCGGAAACTTCAACTGGTCCAGCAAGCGGCAGCCAGATTGCTCACTGGAGTGACATACAGGGAGCATGCCACCCCCTTGTTGTGCCAGCTGCACTGGCTGCCGGTTCAGTTCCGAGCACAATTCAAGGTGCTGGTTTTGACCTACAAAACCCTGTACGGTTCCGGTCCAGTGTATCTGTTCAGACGCATCTCCCTCTACGTCCCACCCCGGAATTTGAGATCACCTGGGGAGGCCCTGCTCTCGACCCCACTGCTGTCACAAGTGAGGCTGGTGGGGACGAGGAGCAGGGCCTTCTCGGTGGTGGCCCCTCACCTATGGAACTCACTCCCGGGGGAAATTAGGGCATCAACATCCCTTCATCTCCTTCAGGAGGAGGGTGAAGACGTGGCTATGGGACCAGGCCTTTGGGCAATCTGTCAATTAAATAAGACAATCAGACGGGTAAGACCAACAGGACTGACGAAGTGGAATTGAAAATTAGAACGCTGACCATGTAGGAGGAGGAATTGGGTTTGTATTGGTTTTTATTGATTTTATTGATTTTATTGGTATAATGCATGAATTGTTATTTAACTGTTTAATTGATGTTATTTTGTGTTACTACTGTGATGTGATGCTGGCATCGAATTGTGCCTTTGTAAGCTGCCCTGAGTCCCCTTCGGGGTGAGAAGGGCGGGGTAGAAGAAACAGAAATAAATAATAAATAAAAATAATATGGCTATAAAAACCCAATAGGTATAAGAGTCCTGTTGATATAAGAAACGCAAACAATAAACAACAAACAACATAATTACATAAAACATATGAAAACAGAGCGATATAAAATTACAACAGGCACAGTCACAATGACAATGGGCGGGCTACATGTAATGATTAAAAGAGAGACTGATTAATACTAATTAAAACTCAGGCGAGATAAGAGAGAGACCGATTATTTGCAGAGGAGGGCTCGTTATAGTGGGAGTCGTGGAATCAGGCTTTCCCACAAAGGGTGGGGGGACGACATATACTCCAGTGACAAAACGTTGAGGCTAAGCAATAGTGTGGGAATGTAAACCTATTCATCAAAAGCGTAGCGGAAGAGCCGGGTTTTAAGGTCCTTTTTTAAGGTTTCTAAAGTTACATGTAGTGATTGAAAGAGAGACTGATTAAAACTAATTAAAACTTAGGCGAGATAAGAGAGAGAGAGATTATTTGCGGAGGAGGACTCATTATCGTGGGGGTCGTGGAATCAGGTTTTCCCACAAAAGGGGGAGGGGACGTATACTCCAATGACAAAATGTTCAGGCTAAGCAATAGTGTGGGAATGTAAACCTATTCATCAAAAGCGTAGCGGAAGAGCCGGGTTTTAAGGTCCTTTTTTAAGGTTTCTAAAGTTACATGTAGTGATTGAAAGAGAGACTGATTAAAACTAATTAAAACTTAGGCGAGATAAGAGAGAGAGAGATTATTTGCGGAGGAGGACTCATTATCGTGGGGGTCGTGGAATCAGGTTTTCCCACAAAAGGGGGAGGGGACGTATACTCCAATGACAAAATGTTCAGGCTAAGCAATAGTGTGGGAATGTAAACCTATTCATCAAAAGTGCAGCGGAAGTGCCGGGTTATAAGGTCCTTTTTAAAGGTTTCTAAGGCATACATGTTTTGTATGTTTTGCATGTTTTGATATGGTCAAGATGGAGCCCCCGGTGGCGCAGTGGGTTAAAGCCCTGTGCCGGCAGGACTGAAGACCGACAGGTCACAGGTTCAAATCCAGGGAGAGGCGGATGAGCTCCCTCTACCAGCTCCAACTCCTCATGCGGGGACATGAGAGAAGCCTCCCACAAGGATGATAAAACCTCAAAAATCATCCAGCGTCCCCTGGGCAACGTCCTTGCAACGGCCAATTCTCTCACAACAGGATGCTCCTGACACAACAAAAAATGGTCAAGATTGACTAATCAATAAAGAATTGTTGTTGTTGACCAAGGCAAGGGCTTTCCTAATTTCTCCAGGTAGTGAGTTCCAGAGTTGGGGGGCCACAGAGGAGAAGGCCCTCTCCCTTGTACTTACTAGGTGAGCTTGTGAAATTGTTTTAGAGTCGGGGGGCCACAGAGGAGAAGGCCCTCTCCCTTGTGCTCACAAGGATGCAGAAGTGCTTCATTCAGCGTCACACCTGAAAGACAGTTGCATCTGTCAAGTAGGAAAATGAGGTACCACCTTAAAGTGTGGGGAGGCTAACTTAACTGATTTATGAGGCCACAAAGAAGACTCCAGCAAAGCATTCCAGCGGGGAAGCATGTGGGGAATGCGGAAGTGCTTCATTCAGCGTCACACCTGAAAGACAGTTGCATCTGTCAAGTAGGAAAATTAGGTACCACCTTAAAAGTGTGGGGAGGCTAAATTAACTAATTTATGAGGCCACAAAGAAGACTCCAGCAAAGCATTCCAGCGGGGAAGCATGCGGGGAATGCGGAAGTGATTCATCAGCGTCGCAGATGGACGAGGAAAGCGACAGCTCCCCTGGCGGCCAGAAAAAAAGTTAAATAGCCTCTGTGTATGTCTGTACATGTTTGTATGTCAAAAATTGGCATGGAATGTTTTTATGCATGTGTGTTTTTCAATGTGTTTCTATGTAATTCAAGATGGATTAAGATGGATTTCAAGATGGATTCTATTCTGCTCTTTTGTGTATTAAAAATGCTGGCTGAGGCAGAGAAAATGTAACCTTGACAGAAATGAGATAACGTGTTCTTTGGCCGGGAAGAAGAGGGAGGATCTGGTCTCAGCCAGAAGTCAGATAAGCAGATGTTCAGAAACTGTTGTGTTGTGCTTTGTGGTTCCTGATTGTAGCTCGCTGTGTGAGGACGTGTCTTATATGTACTTAGTAAAACTTTCTTTTGCAACTGTAAGACTGCAGAGTCCTGATTTTTGGAGTACTTAATACTCCAATGTGTCTGTTGATCTAGCAAACCTTCTACTACGCATCCCCCGAGTTCTGACAGTGACGGCGTTGTGTTCCCATCCCGCAGGAGCCCGATGTCTTTCGGGAAGCAGTGGCGGCGGTTGAGTCCGCACCCCAACGTGGTGCGAGTGCTCCGCGCCTTCACCTCGGCGGTGCCGTTGCTGCCGGGGGCCACGGCGGAGTATCCGGACGTCCTTCCCCCGGCCCTGAGCCCCTCCGGCCTGGGACACAGCCGCACCCTCTTCCTCGTCATGAAGAAGTACGTACGTAAAGGAGGGAAAAGGGGGGAAAGGAAGGAAGAGAAAAGAAGGGAAGGGAAGGAAGGAGGGAAAAGGGAAGAAAGAAAGGAATATACAGGGAGGAAGTTAGGAAGAAAAAGGGAAGGGGAAAGGGTATGAGGGAAGGAAGGGAAGGGAAATAAGAAAGGAGAAAGGGAGGAAATGGAGGAAGAGAATAGAAGAAAGAAAAGAGGAAAAATGAGTGAAATGATATGAGGAAGGAGGGAAGAAAGAAGGGAAGAGAAAGGGAAAGAGGGAAGGAAGGGATGGTACTAGTGTCAATGACAGCAGTCCTATAGGCTCGTACCTTCGTAAGTTGTGTGTTCTTGACTTGGTCCAAGCTTCTGAGATGTCACCTTAGGACCGTTCCTCCCTCCCTGCAGCTACCCCTTCACGCTGCGCCAGTTCCTACGCCAAGACCCTCACCCGCCGCCCCCGCGCACGGCCACCCTGATGCTCCTGCAGCTCCTGGAGGGCGTGGACCACCTCCTCTCCCATGGTGTGGCCCACCGGGACCTCAAGGCCGACAACATCCTCGTGGAGGTCGACCCCGGTAGGTCAATGACGGGCCCGTGTGTACACCTCTACGTCTGTTTGGACCACAAAGGCAGTGGCTAGGGTGGAGTGGCCCTCCGTGATATCACTGGGGAAGGGAGGAAGGAAAGGAAAGAGGGGAAAGGAAGGGACGGGATAAGAAAGAATAAGGAGGGGAGGAAAGCAAGAAGGACGAGAATAGAAAGAGGGAGGGAAGGAAGAAAAAGAAGGGAAAGGAAGGAAATGAGAAGGCAGGAAGGAAGAGGGAAGGAAAGAAAGAAAGAGAAAAAGAAGGGAAATGAGAAGGCAAGAAGGAAGAGAAAGGTGAAATGGTATGAGCGAAAGAAGGATGGAAAGAAAGAAAAAGAAGGGAAAGAAAGGAATGGAGAAGGCAAGAAGGAAAAGAAAGATGAAATGGTATGAGCGAAAGAAGGATGGAAAGAAAGAAAAAGAAGGGAAAGGAAGGAATGGAGAAGGCAAGAAGGAAAAGAAAGATGAAATGGTATGAGCGAAAGAAGGATGGAAAGAAAGAAAAAGAAGGGAAAGAAAGGAATGAAGAAGGCAAGAAGGAAAAGAAAGATGAAATGGTATGAGCGAAAGAAGGATGGAAAGAAAGAAAAAGAAGGGAAAGGAAGGAATGGAGAAGGCAAGAAGGAAAAGAAAGATGAAATGGTATGAGCGAAAGAAGGATGGAAAGAAAGAAAAAGAAGGGAAAGAAAGGAATGGAGAAGGCAAGAAGGAAAAGAAAGATGAAATGGTATGAGCGAAAGAAGGATGGAAAGAAAGAAAAAGAAGGGAAAGGAAGGAATGGAGAAGGCAAGAAGGAAAAGAAAGATGAAATGGTATGAGCGAAAGAAGGATGGAAAGAAAGAAAAAGAAGGGAAAGGAAGGAATGGAGAAGGCAAGAAGGAAAAGAAAGATGAAATGGTATGAGCGAAAGAAGGATGGAAAGAAAGAAAAAGAAGGGAAAGGAAGGAATGGAGAAGGCAAGATGAAAGAGGGGGAAAGGTATGAGGGAAGGGAAGAAGGGAAAAAAAGGAAAGGAGAAGACAAGAAGGAAAGGTGGAAAGAAAGAAAGAAAGGGAAAGAAAGAGGGAGAAGACAAGAAGTAAGAGAAAGGGGGGAAAGGTATGAGGGAGGGAAGAAGGAAGGAAAGAAGAAAAAGAAGGGAGAGGAAGGGATGGGATAAAAAAAAGTGTGCCGCGGCCGCTTACTTTGCGTACTGGACGAGCCGCCCCTGTCCGTATGGTGGAAGCCTTGTGTAGTTGCAAGCGTTTCCGTCCTTGCTGTCTCCATTCTCGCCCGTTGCAGCCGGTCTCCCGTGGCTGGTCATCTCCGATTTCGGCTGCTGTTTGGCCGACGAAAGGATCGGCCTGAAGCTGCCCTTCACCAGTTGGTACGTGGACCGCGGGGGGAACAGCTGCCTCATGGCCCCAGAGGTAAGGCACAATCCGAGCCCTCCCGGAAGGTGGCCGTCCAGCCGTGGATATGAGAGAGAGAGGGACACAGTGTGTTCTGCGATATCATAGAATCCTAGGGTTGGAAGAGACCCACAAGGGCCATCCAATCCAACCCTTAAGCGATAGATAGATAGATAGATAGATACTAAGGAGGCTGTCGAAGTCCTGAACCGGTGCCTGGCCGCTGTAACGGTCTGGATGAGGGCGAACAAACTGAAACTAAATCCAGACAAGACAGAGGTACTCCTGGTCAGTCGCAGGGCCGAGCGGGATATAGGGTTACAGCCTGTGCTGGACGGGGTCGCACTCCCCTTGAAGGCGCAGGTTCGCAGTCTGGGTGTGACCCTGGATTCATC